TGATTTGAAAACCATAACTAGACTATTTTTTGCTTTGATGTGGCAGCCATGATGAAATGCAAAATAACTTTCAGCAAAGCACCTCCACAGGTCATCCTTCATGCAAGCATCCACCATCTGCTCACCTTCTTGATGCAGCATAAACAATCACATGGCCAGAATTTAAAATCTTCACCTTTAGACATAACAGATAAACTCGCAGGGTTTAAATGAAAATGACTCATATTTGTGTTAGAACGCAAGCAGCCCTCTTTTATCCCTACAGGTCGCCTTCAGCAGTGGGAGGAAGGGATTGAGCTCAATTCAATAGGTGTTAAGAGGAAAGGAAGGATTTCCAACTGTTGAAACAGTTAGCTTCCTCCTTAAAGATTTTATTTCTCTTCTTGAACGTATCGGTTCTTGCCTCAATCCCGAGGCGCCTGCCATCCAATCTGAGCCTTCCCCTCCATTCTACTAAATCAAGTCCTAGATGTGTTCCCATCTCCTCACACCCAAGGACAGTCAAGCTTATTACGGAGCCAGACACCGGGAAGAGAAGAGACAGACGGGGAAAAATTGAAAGGAGATAGACTGGATCTGGCATCAACATCATATCTGTGCTCCTTTAACTCTCTTTCTCTATCTCTCTCTCTCTCTCACACACACACACACATAGTTAGAAAGATATGTTTGCTCTCCTGATATTCACTCCTCATCACAACACCTTCATCAGCTCCATCTCTCTGCTCTTATTTGGCAGCCTGATGATAGTTTTATTGCAACACTCAGGGCGACTCAGAAGAACTCTTTAAAATGACTTTCTTCCAATGGCCACTCGCCAACACTTGCATTAATGTCAGACTCTTTTTTTTGTGTGTGTGCAAAGCCAGAAAAAGAGTGACGCCATTAAATAAAAAATTCCTTCTAAGATCACATTTTCAGTATCATTGATCTCAAACTTCCTAAATTCAAACGAAGCCGGTGTCTAATCGCCCAGTTAAGAAAAACCTGCTCCAGTCAATGCCTCAGTAAAAAGGTTTAAACATCTACTTTGTGAATGTTCTCGTTCAAGCTATCCTTTAAATGACAAACTCTCCCAAAATCTATTTGAGTAAGAAGAGTTTGAGGAGAGATCCAAATAATCCGAGTTTACTCCAACACACTTAAGCTGGTTTGGTTTGATGAAGCAGTAACAGAATAAATAATTCATCAAGAAGATGCAGTGCATTCTGGTTCATGAGACTTTCTCAGGACTAGAGCACCTCAGGCAGCTTTGCTGCGGCAATTAAAGGATTAGCCGCTATGAGGCCAAGCGTGAAGACGTGATAGAAGACATTAGTTACTGGTTTACTCGGCCGTTTCATTTTAATAACAAAATGGACCTCCAGTGGCTCTTAGAGATAAAGGAAGCACTCCCAGGCCCAACGTCTTTTAATACAGATGATAAAGAGAGTGCTGTCGGAAGTTTGATGTCTTTCTTTTCTTTTACTTTCAGTCTTTTTATTACCATCTTTTATTAAGTTGGCTCTCTTTGTGTTTGCTTTGGCACAATGGTGTTGTACAATCGTTCTTAATTCAAAATGAATACATAAATGTCCAAAAAGACACTAACCTAGATTATTTTTAATCTCGCACCAGCACAGAAGTCATGTTTCCATAGTTTCTGTCTGGATTTCAGCTTTTATCACCATCTCTGATGAGGGTTAACACACTACAACATGTGGTTCATATTATTTAGTATTTAAAGCTGACACTTTAAATTAAATTAAATTTAATTTATTTATGAAACAAGCCATGAATTAAAATCAAATGATAAAAGAGTAAACTTATTTTTCCTATTTACTCAAAGGTTTTTTGAAGTATGAATGACATCCTGTGGTCAAACGTGGGTACTGCAGTCCATGCTTCAAAACAAACAACTCCGCTAGGAGCAGCTTTGCTAGTTAGGAGTCAGCACCAGAAGATTCTAGATGAGGAGTGGGACGAGTCATACACAGCAAGTAGATCAGTTGATCAACACATTTGACTTTAATATCGAGGTTTGGTAATTGAAAAAGTAGCTTGAGATATTTTTAGAGCCAACTACTTTTATTACAATTCTCCGTTAGCATCGTTAGCTCAAAGTTAGCCTTTAGCATTCTTAATTCAAAATTAGAGTAAAAGAAAATGTGTTTTTATTTCTTTTGCTTTTGAGCCGCTTCTTTTACCGGCTAACATTCTGTCCACAACACTGCTGCTCTGGTGTTGAATCACAAATGCCGGCACAGCTGTGTTTGCAGACTTTCCAGCTTTTTAGACTCAAATATAATTTGCTCTGCAGCCAAGAAGTATAGAGGCGGGACAGATTATAAACAAAGACTACATCCCTCTTTTGCCTTTTCAAAAGGAGAAGAACTGACAACCGCTCAGCTGGCTGAGAAGGAAATCAGTTTCAATGTAATGTGATTATTTGACTGTACATGTTTTTACTTATTGCACCTTTAATTAAGTAATCAACTAGACAATCAAATAAGATGCTTTTTCCAAGTTCATGGATTTTTTTTTATTACTGTGTTGTTCACAGCCTGTTGAAATTCCACCAGACCAAAATATATTGGTTACTACAGTAATTAGCCATCCTGGTTAGACACACACAGATGGAGCTAAGCGGTTCTTGTGGTCCAACATGAGTAGGCAGATGTGTCACAGTAAAACATCTGTCGGGGTCTGGAAGCGTTGCTTTCTCTCAAATAAAAAAAAAAACATTTGCCACAGCAGACTCTGGAACTCTCTCCCCCTGAGCCTGAGATCAGTGGACTCAGTGGTCTCCTTTAAAAAGCAGCTGAAGACTCACTTGTTCAAGCTGGCTTTTGTATGACCTTCTTCACCTCTCTCTCTTTATTCTGCTCTCCCCACCTATTCCACCTTCCTCAGGATCCACTGGTTTCCTTCTTTCCTATCCACTCTCTCTTTCTTTACATTTTTTAATCACAATTGTCTATTTTTTGCTCATTTTAAATACATTTTTAACCATTTCCTAAATTCTTTTTTATATTTTTTTGTGAAGTGCCTCGTGATTTTTATCTTAAGAGGCACTATAGAAAATATATTTTCTTCTTCTTCTTCTTCTTCTTCTTCTTCTTCTTCTTCTTCTTCTTCTTCTTCTTCTTCTTCTTCTTCTTCTTCTTCTTCTTCTTCTTCTTCTTCTTCTTCTTCTTCTTCTTCTTCTTCTTCTTCTTCTTAACATTTATAAAAACTTCTGAGTATTCTGAGATTTTGGCTTCCCTAAGTTGCAGTGAGAGTTCACAAGTGCGCTTGTGAAAAGGGGAGGGGATTCTTTGTCATAGGAAACTTGTGATGCAAGAAAAACAAACAACAGCAGGAACCTGACGACTGCATCTTCTTCTCCATCCATATATGACAGAATAACAAAAGCATCGTTGGGTGTAGCTCTCTGTTTAGCTGACCATCCCACGCCTTTACTCTTTTCATTCGCTCTCATCGCATCTCATTTGGCTGCAACTGGAAGCTGAGAATGCAGAGACATATTTCATAACCAGCTGCACACAGTATCGTCTCCATGGAGTCTGATATTTTCATCAAGAGTCGGCTTTAGTTCCAAAGCCTTGTTTGCATTTCCTCCAAGCAGCTGAAAATCCCATAAACGATGGTTAAAGATAGAGATGGGAAGCAATTTCACAAAGTCCTGATCTAAAATGATAAGCTATTACATTAAACTCAATTATATTTGACTGCTGTGTTTCTTGTGGGTTTGGATCAAGTCCTGATCAGCTGTGAACAGGGAGAACAGCATCCCTACCTCTGCATCTCCGCTACAGAGCCGTGGGCTTCAACCCAACGAGTAAACATCTCTCTGGGGATCCCTTTCAGCTCCTGCTGCTTGCTGCAGAGCAATGAGAAGGAAGTCCATTCATTGGCTGAGATATTGTTCTGGTGAAAACATCCAGAGAGCCGAGCACACGTCCTTCCTCGATTCACGTCTTTCTCTGTCTTTCTTTATCCTCCCTTCTGTCGGTGAGCACATCGTTCACTCCGGCTCACTGGCAGTCTCCTCCGACTGTCCTTTTCAGTCATGTTTTGGCTTCTGTTTGAGTAAACGCCTTCCCTTTTTAACTCTAAGTCAATTATCCCGTTTATCATTTTATTCCAAATGCCCTGCCAGTCTTCTAATTCCTTAGATTCTCTAAATGCCAACACTTTGTCTAGTTCACTCTCCTATTGTCCTTTAGCTGTCATTCAACATTTTTCCTTTTGAGTCTTTGCTGATCTTGGCAGCCAGCTCTGTGTTTTTTCATCTCTTGCTCCTTCTGTTCCTGATTTTGGCAAACCAGAGCCCCCCCGTGCTGGTGTGTGGCTGCGGGCTTTGTCCTTGAGCAGGGGTCAGGTGGATTTCTTCTCTCTTCGCTCTGATGTGCTGCTCGAGGACGTGTGTTATTTGCCTGTGTTTTGTCTGGATACACAGAAGAGAGCAGTGATTGCCCTTGACATACAAACTAGAGGAAAGGCACACACCTGACCGTCTACGTCTGTGTGTGTGTGTGTGTGCGTGAGAGAGTAAGCATGCTGGCTTTGTCTTTCCTCAGGACACACATCCAACCCTGTTATGGGTTCGCTTAGTAAACTGACACTGATTGAATTTAGCGCCTGCGTCCACAAACAAAGCACACGTGTAACCCTGTCCCCTGAAACAACATGCAGGATGACACGAGCGCCTTCCAGCTTTTATGTTTGACCTCAATCCCTTCACAAGGAGAGACTGTGGGACTAAAGGAGGCAGATACCTTCAGCCAACACCTGAGGAGACGCTGCAGCAAGTGGAACAGTTGGTTAGTTCTGCCTGGCTTTAGTAACGACCAGCAGTACCCGGAGAGGCCCTAGGGAGGCTCAGAGTGCTACTGGCTGCTCACTGGAGGGCTGGAGGTATGGATCTTCATTGCTTCCATGATGAGCTGCTCCGTTGGCTGTCTGGGGATGTGGCGTTAATAGCTGGACAGATGAGAAAACCTGAGCTGAGAACCTACCTGAGCGTCTTAGTGGACATGTCTGCCCCGGTGATGCCGTGATACACCAGCGTTTCATTCCATACCGGGTTCAGCGTGTTCTTCAGGGTTTTTGTGCGAAGCTTGTTTGCCTGCAGACACAAATGAAAAGTGACAAGAAAGTCAAAGAATGGGAGGAAAGTAAAGGATAAAAGAGTAGTGGGTAATATTTCAAAGGCAAGAGGTGAGATCCAAAAGATCACAATTAGATAAAGAGAATAAAAGGTCGGCTAAAGAGGGTATTTCTTCCCATTTCTAGAGAGCAGAGGATGATAATTTGTCTCTGTCCCTCAGGAAATCGCTCACATCTGCTGTGACAGAATGAGAGGACACAGGTCTTCCCTCGTCTCACCTTGTCTTCTGTCTGCTCCGGAACAAGATAAAAGAATGTACTAGCAGCCAGCCCACCCATTACATTACGCTGTGATTTAAAAACAACACAACATGGCAACCAGTCAATTCATGCAGGCCACACCAGATCCTCAGGGGTCAGATAAAAGTGGTGCAGTTGTTAGCACTGGGGGGGGGGGGGGGGGGGGGGGACTTGAGACCCTGCAAGTATGTTTTAAATTATTGCAAAGTCTTGTCACGGTTTGAGGTGTTTGTGTCGTGATTAGTTTTGTTTTTCTGTGGTTGGTCTTAGATTTTTGAGCTTTCAGTTGTTGTACCCATATGTTTATTGTGTGGATTGCCCACTCTGAGTTAATGTGTTTGAGTATCTCAGGGTTTACCAACAAAGTCTGGAGAAGCTGCTCTTGGCAGCATCTGCAGAGATGCAGAGTCTGTTGTTAAGAGGCAGCTGAGCTGGGAGAAGATGTTGATTTCCTGGTCGATCTATTTTCCAGCCCTTACCGACGGGCTTTGGGTATTGACCAAAAGAACAAGAACATAAATACAAGCTACTTAAAGGATTTTCCTCTGCAGCGTCACCAGACTCAGCCCTAGAAACAGGGTGAGGACCTTGGACATCTGGGAGGGTCTTCACGTAGACCTGATGCTCCTGCTGCTGAATTGGTTCGGACATGTGGGTGGAATGCCCCCAGGACACCTCTCTGGGGAGGTATATCGGACATGACCCAGAATATGTTGGATGGATTATATCTGCAGTCTGGGTTTACGTGCAGGGGGCATGCTATCCAAACAACCCAGAACATCATCATCATCATCCTTTATTTATAGAGCCCCTCACAGGCATGAGGCATGCCACTAAAGTGCTGCACAGTAACAAATTAAAAACAAAAATAATCAATAAAACAATTAGAAACCCACACGTAAAAGTAGAATAAAATCACGTAAAAGATCAACAACATCGAACCCAGAGTTTAAAAGGGATTCTAAAATCCACAGGCAACCAGTGAAGAGCAGCCAGAACAGATGTCACGTGAAATCTCGCTGCAGCATTCTGAACAAGCTGCAGACGAGCTACAGTACCCTGACTTACTCCAAATAAAACAGAGTTAGAGCGGTCTAGGTGTGACGATGATATGAAGGCATGAACCACATTCTCAAGATCCTGTCTTGGTAAAAATGGCTTCACTTTAGCCAACTGTCTCTCAGATGATAAAAGGAGGAGGATGTTTGTGTTTATTCATTTGGCAGACGCTTTTATCCAAAGCGACTTACAATTTATTTAACTTGTAGGGCATGTTGTGATCTGTGGGGGAAACCGGAGTACCCGGAGGAAACCCACGTGTAGCGGGGAGAACATGCAACTCCACGCAGAAAGGCCACAGCCGAGTTTTGAACCTGCAACCTTCTTGCTGCGAGGCAACAGTGCTAACAACTGCGCCACCATGCAGCCCGTGGGTACCACCGTGCTAACATGAGCATCAAAACAAAAGGCATTGTCCATCTTCACACCAAGATTGACCACTGAGGCACTTAAGCAGGAATTCTGGTCAGAGGTAGTGGATGAAGATGAAATAGGACAACTTGAGAAGAAACAAACTTTTGTAATGTTAGTAGTAATTTTTCCCGTTAGCATTCTTTTCCCCCTGAGCCTTGCTGTCATGTTTTCATTTTTTAGTGTGTCCTCTCTCGGCTCACCTGTCACTGCTCTTCCACCGGTCACTCCACATCCATCCCTCCTTGTAATCACAGTTCCTAGTTGCTCTTTCTTGTCAGATCTCGTGTAATTCTGTTGTTACTCCTCTCTGATCAGTCAGAACTTATTTTCTTGCTTTATTTTCATGACCCATGGACAGAGGTCGGCCGCTGGGCGTATTCTACAGTTCTCTTTCAAACTGTCTCCGCACACAATTGGACAGCGCCAATCAGAGCAGCAAAACATGTGACTTAATAATCACTATAAAGATTCAGCAAGGTCCACCATACACCGTCAAAGGAGAAGCAAACGCATCCTTTTTCAAATAAAGACCTTCAGTACCACCATCTGCTGACGTCTCAAAGAAAGCCCAAATCTAAATCGTCCAAGGTTGATATAAAGTCAAAAGTCAAAGTCCCATTAGTTGTCACACACACACAGGTGTGTGTGCGAAATTTGTTCTCCGCATTTGACCCATCCCCTGGGGGAGCGGTGAGCTGCAGACACAGCCACGCTCGGGAACTATTTGGTGGTTTAACGCCCCAATCCAACTCCTTATTGCTGAGTGTCAAGCAGGGAGGCATTGGGTCCCATTTTTTTTCCAAAGTCTTTGGTATGACCCGACCAGGAATCGCACCCCTGATCTCCCAGTCTCAGGGCGGACACTCTACCACTAGGCCACTGAGAAAGATGCAAAAAAGACTGTTGTTCCTGAGCTGGCGCCATCTTTGCAGTTTTTCATCATCGTAGCTCTGATGCCAACCTCGCCCAAAGTCTTTTTACAAACACATAATGCTTTGATTGTCTGAGCCTAAAACTGTTTGAGCCAATGGTATACCTGCTGAGGCTACGGAGTTTCTCTAGACTGACCTGCGGAGCTAAATCTTTTGCTACTGCTACAGCCAGTCTAGATTTTAACAGGACTGTATTTTATTTTATTAAAGCACATATTTTCAGGCCTGGAGAAATCTTACCTGAACTTTCAGATCTTTTTCTTAAAAAAAAAAACCCATAAAAATGGACAAAAAGGAAATCCTTTATAAATAATGTATATTGTAAGTATCCCTGGGTCTTGTTCACGAGCGAGGGAAAGCTGGAGCATAAGATCAATAGGATTGGTGCTGCATCTGCAGTGATGCGAGCGTTGTACCGATCTGTCGTGGTGACGAGAGAACTCAGCTGGAAGGCAACGCTCTTGATTTACCGGTCGATCTACGTTCCTACCCTCACCTATGGTCACAAGCTTTGTGTAGTGACCAAAAGAACAAGAACGCGAATACAAGCGGCCGAAATTAGGTGAGAAGCTCTGTCATCTGGGAGGGGCACAGAGTAGACCCGCTGCTCCTCCACGTCGAGACGAGCCAGTTGAGGTGGCTTCGGCATCTGGTCAGGGTGCCTCCTGGACGCCTCCCTGGTGAGGTTTTCTGGGCACGTCCAATCGGGAGGAGACCCAAGGGAAGACCTAGGACACGCTGGAGGCACTATGTCTCTGGACTGGCTAGGGAACGCCTTGGGATTCCCCTGGAAGAGCTGGCTCATAGCTGGGGTGAGGGAAGTCTGGGCGCCCCGGCTGCTGCCCCCATGACCCGATTCCGGATAAGCGGCTGAAAATGGATGGATGGATGTAATCATTTACCATTGTCTGATCCTAAAGCATGTAAACACTGTGTTGCTGTAAAACAGATTTGATTAGGAGATATTTTAGTGTATTTATGCTGTATTATATTGAGTGGCTAGTGAAGAGTTAGTGTTCCCTCCTTTATGACTCATGCTCATGTCTGAATGTTTGAGGACACAAGCACCCAAGCCTGTTTCCTCTCCTCTTTGCCACCATCAGCCTCTCACTGTGGTGCCTCAGGGCCAGATGCTGAACCTCGCCTGACATCTTTTTTTGTCTCTGTCTGTTTTTGTCCCCGCCGCCCATTATTCTGCCACCGCCCCTCTCGTTCTCTGTCCCCTTTTCTATTCTTCCTCCTTTGTTCCTGCTGGAAAGTTCCTCCTTATCAATTAAAGTCAGATAGTGAGGTATCCGGGGAACAAGCGTCTTATTTCAAACTTGTATTCGTCCAGTTGATTAACGTAAGAGAGGGGGAGCATCACGACTCAACCAAAACACCGCTTTCCTAAAAAGTCCTCATTATTTAATGAGTTGGGTTTCTTAAACAGAATCTAACACATGGGCCATCTACTAACACCAAAACACCAGCTTCTTGTCCTCCTGCAGCCATCCTCCCTCTTTACGGGTGGTTTGCATCTGTTTGTAAATGTTTTATCTTCAGCTTCCCATCTGCCCATCGCACTCTTTCTCCTTTCTCTCCATCTGTCTGCAGGAAGCTCCCTCTCTGTTTTTTTTCTTAACATATCTCACTATCCCTCTTACTCAGTCCTCTTTTCTCAGAGCTGTGATGAGCCGAGGCTGGCTGTGAGCGATTCGTCCAAGCGTCTCTGCATGTGCATGAAAATACCAGAGACTGTCGTCGGGGCACCAGGAACTATGGTGTCTGTGTTTATCTGAGGGAAGGAGAAAGGCTGTAATGGGGAAGAAAGGGGAAAGGAGGGGAGAAGGGGGGTGAGTTGGGGGGGGGGGGGGGTGTTCTGTGTGTGGCTGTGACTAAATCCTTAGCATGTGTCTGCATACACACAAGGTCATCTGCTGCATGGGTTGCAGGGTGTGTTATACACCAGAAGACAACATGCTGGACCGTATCCCAATCAAAGAGATGACAGATGGGAGACGGGAAGGGAAAGAGAAAGGAATGGCGCGTGGGTCAGAGGACACGTGTGCCTTGAAAATTTCTTGAGAGCTTTTTGGGTGCCGGATCAGTCACCGCAAAGTGCACAAACAGAGTGCTGCAGAGTGGATGTGAAAGTGTGTGTCCGTCATCTTTTGTAATAACGTGCCCTCCTCCCTGATGACTGTTTATCAAACAGGAGCACTTACCTACACATTGATGCTCACTCTCTCTCTCTCTCCACTCTCCCCCTACCACCACTACCAGCTTTACTGCCCCTCCCACCCCTCACATCAACACTTTGCCTGTTGACGTGAGCCGTGTAACAATCCTCCCTGTTTCCATGACAACCACCTGCTGCTGTCCTCCCCTCTTGTGTCTCTTTCTCTTGTTGTTCCCCCTTCACACACACACACACACACACACACACACACACACACACACACACACACACACACACACACACACACACACACACACACACACACACACACACACGCACGCTCACACACACACACACACACACACACACACACACACACACACACACACACACACACACACACACACACACACACACACACACACACACTCCTCTCTCCTTCTCCACACACTGTTGGTATTTCAAGGTCAGAGAGGGGCAGAGGTAGATGGTGTGATAGAGATGGGTATCGAGGTGAAAAGTGGGGAGAAATGATCGATAACAGTGGGAGAAAGGGTGAATTTACTTTTTTTTTGTTCAGACGTGATCTTTGCATAACCTTAACTACACTCAGCTTCCTCGTCCTCACAACTCATAATCCCATTCTGTGTCGGCCGGGAGCCGAAATGGCCGACAACAGGTTGCCTTCTGCTGCAGCCGTGGGAGTGGGGGCCGTCCGCCGCCACTGCTTTGTCCTGCTGCTGTTGTGGCGAGCTTTATCTTTGCCTGCTGCTTGAGCTGAAAACGAGACAAGAGCGGGGCAGCCGGCCAGAACGTGTTTGGGCTTGATAACGCGAAGGAGGACCGGATGAGCCACAATAACAGGCGTCCAAGTAAAAAAATACCGTTTGGCTTGAAGAGACACAGTAAATTAGCTGACTGCCATGTTTGTCCCAAAGGTGTTATGACCCTTTTATGATGTCAGGTAAACAAGAACTGATGAGGTGAGGGGTTTATTCAATGGGTCTAAACAATCCTCAAAATGTCCTTTAGTCCCCCTCCTTCCCTTTTATCTTTATATACATGTTTTCATGTTTTAACACCAATTACTTTTTTCTACAGTTTTATTAATAGACCTGTGATCGTTTCCCATTAGTTAAATAATATGAGTTATTTTGGATAAACACAATAACATCTGTATTATTCTTATGCTCTGATACAAAACCACGTGGGTGAAACAAACATAAACGTAAAAAAAGAATAATACACCCAGTTTTAGTTTTACTTTTATGCATCAAGAGATGATAAATAAAAGTTCCAGTTAAACAAATCTAGCCTTATAATATTAAAATGCAATAGATTCCATCATGCCATGATATAACTAACCAAAACTTCTATCCATACCGTTTTCATTGAATTTAGATGAGCCAGTCTAACATTTGGAACATGGAAGGCAACATTTGTGTAATTTTGCTGCTCTGGAGGCTACAAGAGTGTGTTACCATAGTGTCAAGGTGAGACATCAGTGATGACCTCAAAGAATCAGCTGAGGGCAGTTAAAGGTCATTCCAAGACTCCACCGTGCTTTTGTGAGAAAGATTAAGTAGAAAACTTTTGATGAAGCTGTCAGTCTTCCCAAGTGGAAGTCCCAGAGAATTTCATTCTAAGGTCAGACTGAGTACTGCTCAGAGAAATGATAAAAGTAAACACCTATGGCCTATCTCAGACTCTAAATGCCTCAGTTAGCAGGTCAAATGTTCAAGTTTATGACAGGACAAGATCTGCAGGAGGGGTCTGTTTTCTCTTGAAGGCAACAAGGCAGCATGAGACCAAAGTAGAGATGTTTAACAGAAAAACACATCAAAGAGTGTTTAAACACTAATGTCTTGTTCTAGCTGTCAGCACAGTGGTGGAAGGCTGATGGTTTGGGCACCCTAAGGCCAATAATTCTTCATCAACTCCCCTGAATAATAAAGTATAGAGGCCCTTTTCCATCATCAAACTTTTGGTTAAGGTAAAACCTTCACAGTATGTGCGTGTGTCCACTTCACAAGGCTGGACAGGACCATTTTCCGGGCCATTTCAGGGACCAACATAGTACCTGAACTAGGGTATACTCGGAAAGTCCCGGTAGAGTCACTGAGTGGAACTTGTTGTCAACTCATGCTGGCTGGCTGTAACTCAGCAGGAATTAATCAGCAGATATCAACAAAAGACCAGCGTTTGTAAGGTTGGAAGAGTTTCCAGTGAAGCAAAATGGAAGAAAAACATTGATGCTGCTTTAAAGTCGCCATTCCTGAACTCCCAGCACTGAAACATGTGGTGGAAATCCCTCCACAACACCTTAATTTACTCCTTCAGAGCATGGGGGAAAAAAAAGCTTCCTCTGGTCATTCAACGCCAGTGTTTACATCAAACAGCTGAGCGCCCCGTCCCCTCAATGTATTGAGTTACTCTGTACTTTGGCAGAATAAAACCTTTAATGTTATGAATGTCCGTAGACTCCTTTTGCTGCCAAAGCAGTTGCGATATGCAGACATCTTAGAAAAGTCATGATTTTATATGAAGACGTATCGGTCGGGTCATACCAAAGACCTCAACAATGGGACCCAATGCCTCCCTGCTTGACAATCAGCTTTAAGGGGTTGTGGGTTAAACCACCAAATAGTTCCCGAGCACAGCCACAGCTGCAGCTCACCGCTCCCCGCGGGGATGGGTCAAATGCGGAGGTGGATTTCACCAGTGTGTGATGAATTAATGGGACTTTGACTTTAAAAGGATCAGGCCACCGTATATCCTGGTCACTTTCCCCCTCCCAGTAATTTTCCTGAACTCCTATAGAGGAAACACTGTTTATGTGAGGCTGAGAGTTGAATCAAACTGGATAATTAAACAGGACTAAGATCCCAAACACAGCAGATCAAATAAATAAATAAATAAATAAATGAATAAAAATAAGGGCTGAAAAAGTTTTACAACTTCCCACTAAAAGTCCAGACCATAACCTGACAGAAATGTTTTCATTGGACTTCAACAAAACTGTGCAGACAGTAGGGTGACGTTGCTCCTAATGATGTGAGAGACAGTCAGTCACAAAAGATTACCCCAATGTATTGCTACAAACTTAAAGTAGGTCATAGTAAGAACTCTTCTGAGTTAGTAGCAATCCCGGATAAGCCCCCAGTTCATTGTGGCCAGGATTAAAAAACATAAAATCGACAACTTCTAGATTTACCAGTAATACAGGCATAATGGGGTGAACCTTTTTCTCAACAGTATTTCTATTTTGCACACTTGAAATGCTTTGAAGATGGATTCAATTCAATTTCAGCGAGGGACTTTGGTTTCTCCTGACTGTATCTGATCTAATTATTGATCTGGAGGCTCATGCTACAACATCATCGTATAAATAAAAATATTAATATCACTGATCTCAGTAATTTGCATGTTGGCCCTAAATGACAAGTGTTGGTGTGCTGAGTGGACCCATGTTACATGAATATCTGCTGCGGAAAGGCTGAAGCAGTGACCTTGCTCGCCCCGGGGAGAAGATGAAGCTTGACGTATGGATCAGCCAGCCCGTTGGAGTCCATGGCCTTCAGACCCTGTGGATGCAGACACACAAACATACACACATGTAGTAAGAGAGGTGACGTCATTGTGCCCTCAAACCTATTCACACTAGTGACAGGGTCAGAAAAAGTCGGCAGATCTGACAGTCCGGTGCTACTGTAGCTGATTCAACTTCAGGGTATTTCTTTCTCTCTGTTCCTCACTCTTCCGTCTTCCTCGACTGCTTTGTGTCCTCCTCGGAGGAACTCTCCAGTAAGATTTACATAAATAAATCATGTGTCAGTATGAAACACGCAGCGGAAGCCTGGTGTCCTTGTATGTGTCACATGCAGCGTCATCCAACATTTCAAGGTGCCATGATTTAGCCTGGAACCGACGAGCCGACATATAAAATCTATAAAAGGTTGTGAGCCGGAAACGTGACTGACACCTTGTTCAGATGTGAGTGAACCATTTTCACCAGACGGTCATGGGTGATTATGCAATCTGCTTCACTGACGGTGTGTTGAACGTTACCTTTGCCTTGTGTATAGTACAATGAAGGCAGTTGTTCTCTTGGTCAAAGTGCAGCGTGAACTCCAGCGTTCCCAGGTAGGCTGAAAGAAACAGCACCAACACAGAGATTGCTGTCAGTGAGAAGCACAAACACATTCAGCCTTCAGTGGCTCTGAGTCATTTCTGCAGCAGGCGGCCTCTTGAAAACATAACTCTGCCTTATATGAATGGATCTGTCTTATTGCTTGGGTCTGAGAGAAAACTAGAGTCTAACTATTTCAACCTTGTGTAATAAATCATCGGATCTGCTCTGTCGCACAAAGTGGGAGTGACAAACAGTGTTGGAAAAATGCTCGACTCTACAATTACTTCACAAGCATGTGTTGTGCTGGGGGGGTGGGGGGGCAGAAACTGGAATTAAGTGAAACAGCAAGATGAGTCTTCACTTTTGAGTTGCAGGGTTGGCGGTGGTTTTTATGCTGTTGCTGCTTAATAATTCTTCCATGATCAAACACAGTTTTGAAGATCAGGCAGAAGATTCTTTTTCAAAACTTTTGCCCTCCCTCCTCAGAACTCACTGTCGTCGTCGTCTGAGTCGAGCGCCTCTTCTCTGTCCCCTTCGTTCTCTCCTCTTCTCTCCCCATCCTTGAAGCCTCCACCCGTGACCCCGTTGAAAGTCTCCTCCTTCAGGATCTTCTTTTCCCTGGGGGGCGGTGGCGTGCAGGGGTAGTCGTGGAAACGAGGGAAGAAGTCCGAGATCTGTGGGATGGGGAGGATTGGCCCCGGGCACACGTTGATAGCAAAGTGCTCCTGCATAGAGATCTTCACTGGCGACGGCGGAGGGGGAGCGGCGGAGTGGGGCGTCGCTGAGGGGGAGGAGGCAGCTGAGGAGGGGGTGGAGGGGGAGGAAGGGGGGATGGCAAGGTGGGTGGTGGAGGGAGGTGGAGGGGGCTTCGAGACACTCATCTGGACTGTCAAACGGGACTAAGACAGGACAAATGAAAGGGTGAAGAGCAGAGGGGAACAAATGAACAACAAATAAAAAAAATTCTTCATCAAAAAAGCGACACAGATCACAAAGTTCCTGAGAGTTTGAACAGATGCGGCGGTTCTCTCCAGACAAAACGCAAAACATCCCAACGCATCAGAAAAAGAGAGAGAACCTGACAACGTGTTTCTGTTTTCATCCTGTGATTCAAGCTCAGAAAGCCAAAATAGAACTTGCCAGAACCTTTGGCACTTCAAGTGTGACTCACACGTCGTGTCAGCACACCAAACTTGTGCTCTCGGTGAATATTCAAATGTACTGCTGCGAAGTACGAAACAAATGATGTCACACACATGTCGGCACTTCACTCTAATCCCACTCTTATGCCTCATCTCTCTCCTTCTCTCTCTGCAGAAACACCATGAGCAATATTTACATAATACTATCTGAAGCCTTTCACAGTCCTTCATGTGTTAGTCTCTAACGGGACCAAAATACCCGTCACCAAACTCCCGCCTCATCCAACCAAATGCCATCATTTTTTCTTCTTTTCACGAAGCTCAAGAGCCCTTCATGAATGAGCAGAGTCATGTTCAGTAACAGAAACATCAACGCCGCGCCACAGCTAGTCATGTGGGAGTCCACATCACCTGTCTGTCGGCCGCATGTGTTCTTCACATCACCGCTGATTAGGAGCAACTGGTGACCTGTGGCCATGCAGCCCATGTTTCATTGGTTTGTATCATTTATTTAAGTGTGTGTGTGTGTGTGTGTGTGTGTGTGTGTGTGTGTGTGTGTGTGTGTGTGTGTGTGTGTGTGTGTGTGTGTGTGTGTGTGTCTTTGCAACCCTAAATTTGCCTTGTATTTTTGCAAAAGAGTAGCCGGAGGCACAAATCTAATTGATGCATTTAGTTCTAAATTATTGTTTATTGTTGAAGAATTTGTGTTTTCGAAAATAATCAGGAGACATGTCTGTTCAGCTTGGTCCTAAACCAAGCTTGGAAATGATTGTAGAAGGAATAATGTGAAGACAACAGAGTAAAAAAACAAAAACAAACTAACTTGTCAGTGGGAATGAAGATCAGTTTTCACAGAAACCTATCCTCCCAAATTGACTCAACACTGAACATTAAGCATCTTAAAGTAAACATTTTACTGCCATAAGCACTTGAAGGTGTCGAGCACTTGTTTAATCAATCATACATTTGAAGTGATCTCGTTGTTGGAGGTTTAGCTCCACAAATAACACAAACCTGGAGGATTTCTGCCTCGTGCTGGAGTTGCTAATGCTAACGGTTAGCTTCTGCTAGCCAAGACGTTTTCTGCTGTTTACTGGACGCTAAACCAACAACAGCCTTCCCCAAAGCAAGTCAAGATGAGTTCATGAACGTTAAGTGACAGTCTGACGTAGATCTGCCAGGCTTTTCAATTCCTAGTTTCACCGTCTATTTTCTATCAGAAACTAATGCAGGAGATTGGTGTAGGAGACTATTTACATGTTCAGCCTGCATGAAAAACTCAGAGTGATCGATTATAATCAGAAATAATAATTAAAAAGTGTTTTTAGTGTTCCACTCCTTTAAAACAGTGATCACAACAAATGGGTTTTAACAGAATTTCCTGATTATATGGAGCAGAGATGCTGTTTAGACTCCTAATTACTCTATTAAAGGGAATATTTTAATTCAGAGTTCATTCACAGATTGACCTCAAGTTTACCCTACATGAATGGTTTTGGACCGTAGAAAAAACTGCTAACTCCTCTCAAAATGACCTACACAGCCAGAATGTTATCATTCATAATTATTATTACAACATTGCAAGAAAATGAAAAAAGCGTATAGGCTGAATAATTATTTAATAACTACTTTATTTTGTAGTTTTAACAAGTTCTTTTTTATTTGTTCAACACCTCGCAATCGTCAGCATCAACACAAATGATTTTTCACATCTGAGATTAATTCACACATCCAGAGCATGAATCAGTCATTCACACACACACGCGTGCTCCTGTAAATAAGGCAATTTCCAGATAAACATCAGCACAAGAACTTCTATTACTAGCATGTTTAACTGGACAGGATTCAGTCACACACACGCACACACACACACACACACACACACACACACACACACACACACACACACACACACACACACACACACACACACACACACACACACACACACACACACACCTTCAGCAATCATTCATACCGGTTTACATAACAATCCCCAGACCCGCTCCTCCAGCACCTACACTCCCATGTTGCTCACAAACTTCCTCACATCGATCCGTCCCTTTTGGAGACATGCACGCACATGTGGACTCACACTCGCAGATACACACACACACACACACACACACACACACACACACACACACACACACACACACACACACACACGCACACTGATATAGCTCTTCACCTACCCAGGGACAGTCTTCATCTGTGCCAGCTCTCCATCTTGCCTGCTATCACATCCTCTGTCTCTCACACTCTGTGGAGCATCTAGACCAGCTTTGAGTCAATGTATCCCTTCGTACTCTCTCTCTCTCTCTCTCTCTCTCTCGCTCTCGCTCTCTCTCTCTCTCTCTCTTTCTCGCTCCTTCCCTCCTTGTCTCTGTTCCTCATTTGCTCTCCTCTTCTCTTCTCCTCTCATCTCATCTCCTCCGTCCCTCCCTCTCTCTCTCTCTCTTTCTCCCTTCACCCTGTAGTTGTGACGTCTTTGGTTAAAATCCTCATCAGTCGTTTTCAGGCTGTGCATATGGCACAGTCACTCACTTCCTCAGCGGAAAAGACATTTCTGGGAACCTAAGAAAATATTCAAAAGTCGGAGTGGGTGGGCATGAGTGTCTCAGTGTTGGATGAGGTGTGTGTGTGGCAGAAGAGAGACAACAACAAAGGAAGACAGACAAACAATGCAGATGTGGAGACAAACGCACAGTGACACCGGCAGAGACAAACACATGGAGACGCAGACATGTGCAATGGATGAAGAGGAGAAGGGATGTGTGTGCGCACAACGGGAAATATTGCTCTGGGATGAAAAGAAAAACTCACCAAGTGAAGGACAGAATGGGGAAATGAAATTCTTTATGTTGACTGAGCCGAGCAAAATTGACTGCCAGCTATGAAATCCCAAAACCAGGCTCCTTTGTGCTGCCGATTACTACGGCCAATATCAGACAAGCATATTTGTGTGCACTTGTGATTTTTGGCTGCTTGTGTCCAGCAGCAGTCGCAGTAACAACTGCCACCTGCCACCAAAACAGCACGAATCAAAGACAACAACACGTTAGCATCACAGATTTCTGTGGAAACAAAATACAGATGAACTCAAAATGTGTGTGAAAAAACAAAGTCTTCTGTATGAGGTGCAGAACACAAACAAATGCAACAACGTTTGTTTCAATAGGTTTTGGACAAAGTCCCATACAATTTGTTTTTGAAATAGATTTTTTTTTTTGTTCAAAGGTACTTTTACTCGAGGTTAGTTCAGAGAATGATGGGTTCAAGAGGGAAACCCCAATGACAGCAGCAAGTTCTGGGTCTGCTTCAGGCTCCTCTCACATCGGGAAGACACTAGAAAAAGTCCAGATGGATGCAAATGACTCCTCTCAACACAGAGGAGCACAAGCCTGGTAAAGGTTGGTTTATGCTTGACGCGTCCGCGAGGTCCGCACGGCTCCGCGCGGAAAAGTTGCGTCATTTTGCGTCATTTTAACAACCACGCCCCTCCACCGCGTCTCCGCACGGCCCAAGATTTCCGCAACGCGCACCTCGGAAAATTTCTAACCACGCGGACGGTCGGACGCGGAAAAACATGGCGGACCGGCACGGCAGAGGTTCGTAAATACACACATTTGTATGATTCAGCTCTCAGAGATCACCGTGATCAACATGTTGTTAATAGTTCTTGGAGAGAAATAGCTCGCACTGTCGGAAAAGACGAGAACGCTGTTAAAAATGCTGAAATACCATGTTGTAAACAGTGATTTCTACTTCTAATATGGTGTAGTGTTGGATGCATGCTGTAGAGCTCCATGCTGCCCCGTTCAGTTTGGGAGAATATTGGCTCACCGCAGAGACGAGCCGCACAAACCATAAACGCTGCGAGTTGTGAAGCGCGTTCCAGCCGCGAGCCGCATCACCGCGCGGAAAGTGAATGCGTCAAGCATAAACCAAGCTTAAGCCATCCTACATTTGTACATACACTGCCAGGCCAAAAAATAAAAAGTCACCACCTGGATTAAATTAAGTAAATAGGTACGAGCTGTAGTATTAGCTCACAGGAGACACAGCAACCCCACGCTCACCGATGGTAAACAGTAGTTAGGTCCCTCCTTCTTTTGTTTTGAAAGGAGAAATACTGATAAACCCCACAGCCAGCTGGAAATAAATATGTTTCAGTATAACCTTCTTTCCAAAATGACAAAACATTAGACTCGTTTGGGATTTTCTCCCTGTAAAATTCTCACTATATTCTTACATATTGCACCTTTAACCTCAACTGGTAGATTTGCCTCTTATTTCTTAAACAACCATGTGTAATGACACATCTAGTGGTCAAGGAAAATATGCTAATCCGTCAGATCATTTGCATGCATCAAGCAGAGAAAACATCTACGGCGATTGTAGAAACAACTAAAACTGGTTTAAGAACTGTCCAATGCATTATTAAAAACTGGTCTGATGAGTCCAGATGGACTCTGTTCCAGAGTGATGGTGCATCAGGGTAAGAAGAGAGGCAGATGAAGTGATGCACCCATCATCTTGCCTAGTGTCTACTGCTAGTGTCTACTGTACAAGCCTGTGGGGGCAGTGTTATGATCTGGGCTTGCTGCAGTTAGTCAGGTCTAGGTTCAGCAACAGGATGTGCTCCAAGAATGAGGTCAGCTGACTACCTGAATATACTGAATGACCAGGTTATTCCATCTTCCATGCCAGGATTCACCGGGCTCAATTAGTGAAAGAGTGGTGCAGGGAGCATAAGACATCCTTTTAACACATGGACTGGCCACCACAGAGTCCAGATCTTAACCCCATTGAGGATCTTTGGGATGTGCTAGAGAAGCCTTTGTGTAGCAGCCAGACTCTACCATCATCAATGCAAGATCTTGGTGAGAAATTAATGCAACACTGGATGGAAATAAATCTGTTGACATTGCAGAAGCTTATCGAAACAGCGCCACAGTGAATGTGTGTTGTAATCAAAGCTAAAAGCAGTCCAACAAAATATTAGTGTGTGTGACATTTGTTTTGGTGGTAACTTGTTTTCTGGCTGGAAAGTGTTTTTAGAGCTCAGTCATGGAGGCGTATTCTACTGTTGTCTTTCAAACTATGTAGGCATGAAATCAGACAGCATTAGGACATATCAGAGCAACAAACAATGTTATTTATTAATCGCAATGGAAATCAGTCAATGGGATAAAAACCATTGAGGAAGAAGAAGTAGCAAATACATAATGTTTCTAAATAAGACTTGACTTCCTATATTTGCTCACGTCTCAAAGAAGTACCTGAGTCTAAATAATTTCAAACAAGTGCAGTCCCTGAACTAGAGCCATCTAAAGCCGGGCGGACACTGTGCGACTTTTTCACTTGTAGCACTCAGCTTCAGCTCAAACTGTACAACTTCCTCGCAGAGCAGATCTCACGAGTCATGTGCTCACACTGCACGACCCAGTTCTCGGATGCGACCTGACTGCTCACACTGTACATCTGGTAGCAACACGTCGGCCCTAAAAATATGCTAAAAATAGCAGTTTTTACTCAACACGTCAGACTTTTTTGTCTTGTTTTGCCTGTTGTCCTTCGGGAGTGCTGCAGGAGGACACACAGGGATTTATGGGGGTTGGATGAGGAAAACGAAATAAAGAAAGTAAATGTGTGTTTTGTGATCAGTTTAATTTGACATGAACACGACAAACACGCTTTCTTGACAATCTTTGTGAGTAAAAAACGTGTAGAAACAAAAACGAACAGCGTGTGTTATTAGGGAAATAGCGGGCGAGCGGTGTTGATGCAGGACTGCGCATGTGCCGTGAGCGGTTCTGATACAGTTGTGGTCAGAAGTTTACATACACTTGTAAAAAATATAATATAATGGCTCTACTGAGTGTCCCGTTATTTCTAAAACTCTGATTTTTCTCTGATAGAGTGATTGGAACAGATACTTCTTTGTCACAAAAAACATTCATGAAGTTTGGTTCTTTAATGTCTTTATTATGGGTTAACAGAGAAAAGTGATCACATTTGCTGGGTCACAAATATACATACAGCAACATGAACTAGCAATTTTGGTGACTTAGAAATGTGTCAGTGAACTGAGCTTCATAGCATGGCCTCTTAACTTCTTGTGAGGGATTATGAGTGACTACAGCTGGTGACTTCTCTTAGGCCAGGTAAATAGGGCTCATTGGATACAAACGCCCACAAACGCTACAATGGGAAAGTCAAAGGAGCTCAGCATGGATCTGAAAAAGCGAATTATTGACTTGAACAAGTCAGGAAAGTCACTTGGGGCCATTTCAAAGCAGCTGCAGGTCCCAAGAGCAACAGTGCAAACAATTGTTTGTAAGTATAAGGTGCATGGCACTGTTTCATCACTGCCAAGATCAGGAAGAAAATGCAAGCTATCACCTGCTGCTGAGAGAAAATTGGTCAGGAGAGTAAATAATGAACCAAGAATCACCAAAAAGCAGATCTGCCAAGAATTAGAAGCTGCTGGAACACAGGTGTCATTGTCCACAGTCAAACGTGTTTTGCATCTCCATGGACTGAGAGGCTGCCGTGCAAGAAGGAAGCCCTTGCTCCAAAAGCGGCACCTTAAGGCTCGACTGAAGTTTGCTGCTGATCACATGGACAAAGATAAGACCTTCTGGAGGAAAGTTCTGTGGTCAGACGAAACAAAAATCGAGCTTTTTGGCCACAATGCCCAGCAATATGTTTGGAGGAGAAAAGGTGAGGCCTTTAACCCCAAGAACACCATGCCTACAGTCAAGCATGGTGGTGGGAATATTATGCTGTGGGGCTGTTTTGCTGCCAATGGAACTGGTGCTTTACAGAGAGTAAATGGGAGAATGAAGAAGGAGGATTACCTTCACATTCTTCAACATAACCTAAAATCATCAGCACGAAGGTTGGGTCTTGGGCGCAGTTGGGTGTTCCAACAGGACAATGACCCCAAACACACATCAGAAGTGGTAAAGGAATGGCTAAATCAGGCTAGAATAAGGGTTTTAGAATGGCCTTCCCAAAGTCCTGACTTAAACCCCATTGAAAACATGTGGACAGTGCTGAAGAAACAAGTCCATGTCAGAAAGCCATCAAATTTAACTGAACTTCACCAATTCTGTCAAGAGGAGTGGTCAAAGATTCAACCAGAAGCTTGCCAGAAGCTTGTGGATGGCTACCAAAAGTGCCTAATTGAAGTGAAAATGGCTAAGGGACATGTAACCAAATATTAGCACTGCTGTATGTATATTTGTGACCCAGCAAATGTGATCACTTTTCTCTGTTAACCCATAATAAAGACATTAAAGAACCAAACTTCATGAATGTTTTTTGTGACAAAGAAGAATCTGTTCCAATCACTCTATCAGAGAAAAATCAGAGTTTTAGAAATAACGGGACACTCAGTAGAGCCATTATACTATATTTTTTACAAGTGTATGTA